CACGTTTTCTCTCTTGGTGTCTGTTGTTTCGATGATTTTGCTTATCCGGGTTGTCTTGGTTGCTTCTTTCAGGAACTTTTTCGTGTCTTTTTCCTCCATGATAATCATTATTTCTCTTGTGTTTGAATTCTTCATTGTTTCTCGGGTTCTCTTTGCAGAAGTCCTAAAATTGCCACCTAACCATGATTCCGTGAGAGAAAGCTTCGATTACTTCTCGTTCGGTAATGTCATGTACTTGGGCACGTAATTCACCAAATCGTCGATAGTGATCTCTGAGACTTTCGCTCCCTTTCTGCTTGAGTCCCTTTAATTCTGCGTGGGTGATTGGGTGCATAATGATACCCATGAAATTTTCACAGAAAGCTCTTTGCAAGTCCTCCCAATTTCTGATTAACCATGGATTCAATTTGTCGAACCATTGGAGAGGCATGGTTTCCAGGGCCATCGGAAAGAACAAGGTCTTGATGTCATCGTCTCCTCTAGCCAGTTCAATCGATTGTGAGTAGATTCTGAGCCACTTGCCTTGGTTTAGTCTTGCCATCATATTTAGAGTGGTTGGACTGTTTGAACTTGTGCGGTAGTTGTATCGAAGCAAGTCTGCTTGCAAAACAGGGGAATCTATCATGCGTCCCGGCTTCTCTGTACTCTGATTCAGCACCTCCTTCTAGCCAGCTGTCGTTTTGACGAGAGTAGTTCTGTGGGCCTGTCCGAATGGGTGCTTCACTTCTGTTCTGTCTTGGTTGTTTGGCTTGGTAGTTTTGACTGTGGTCCCTTCTACTTTCTCTATTGTGACTTCCACTTGGTCCAAGTCTCTCGAACATGGACTTCCTTTGATTTTGATCTTCCCTCCTATGAGATGTTGACCTGGCGGGTAGTCTTGAACGGGTTCTTCCATCGTGTGTCTTTAGGGCTGCTGTCCGGAGAAGTTTCCGAAGCTGTTCCTGCTGTTCACTAGGATGTGAGGTTGTTCCGAGTTCCTCAAGAGCTTCTCGGATCCTGTTGTAGGGTATGTTCGCCGCACGTCTTTCTTCGACTTCTTGTTCTGATTTTCTTCTATTATATTCGGCCAGATCTGACTCATATTTGATCCAAGCTTCCTTGAACTGCCTAGCACATCGCTGGCGTCCTTGTTTTCACTTGTTTCTTCATTCTCTGGCTTGCCTTTGATTCTCGGCCTCACCATCGTAGCCTTGAGCAAAGGGTGATATGTTGGACTCAGATTCATCTGATGACCTGACGTCGGGTGCTTCTAGGGGAATCAATGGTGATCGAGGACGGCGAACCATGAGTACTTCCCGTGCATGAACTGTTCTGTTATTGGCGTTGGTTTTCATACTGTCGGAGTTGCTGATAACTTTAGTATAGGTTTCAAGGTCGCATATCGAGTCTCCTTCTTGGTAGGGTAGAATTGCTGTTGTCGTCGTGCCGACCCGTCGGGTACTGCTATCCTCAGGAATAGAGCCTGGCCAGTGGACAATGCAGTCTTGAGATGTTATGGTTAGTACGAGACCTTCCTGAGCTTCTTTTAGTGGCATTCTAAACACTAAGTCGAGGGATCCTTCGAGCTGTGCTTGGTAAGACCTTGCCATGTTGTGGAGTCCAAATGGGAAAAGATCCGACTTCTTGAAAAAATTCTGAGTGCACTCCGAGATGTATTCTTGATATGCCGAGGCCGCGTTCTGTAGCCTCATTGGAAAAGAACTCGGATTCTCGAATGAACTCGGGTCATACTCCATCTTGGATGCGGAGCCTAAATTCGAGTCGGATGCGTAAAGCCGTGAAACCTGAGTTGAATTGGACATCACGAGCTGCGCGAATCTTCCGGTGATTTGATCTATCGTAGTCGCGAAAATAGAAAAGTTTTCATGGTGAACCGAATCTTCAAGAAGACGGCTTTGGAGCTTGCCATCGTCGACTGCCTCGCAGATCCACGAATCGAAGATGAAGGTTGATCCCTTTGAGAAGATCATGTTGTCGAGGTCCATCGAGCTCTCGGATGCAAATTCGCCGAACGCCCCTACCTGGCGCGCCAGCTGTCGATGTTTTACCACCGATAGCCTGTCATGGGGTTACCCGGGACAGTATGTTCGGGCTTCAGCATATACGGAACTCGACGGTGAACGCAAGAGACAGTCGATTTATCCTAGTTTAGGGCCTCGACTGTGGTCAAGTAACAGCCCTACGTCTAGTCGGCGTTAGCCTTTGCATTGTATTGATTGTGTGTTGTTGTGTTGTATCGTTGTAAAAGTCCTCTGTCATCTAAGAACCCCGGCCTCCTTTATATAGTCAAAAGATCAGAGTCCTAGTCGGTTTACAATAAGAGTTCATAGTAGGATTACAGGACAATACTACTACTAGGACTATATGGGAAGAATCCTAGTTGGACTAGATCTTCTCCCTTCCTGGTGGAGTATCCTGTGGGTCCCGCATCGACAAACTTTGACCTGTTCCCTGTAGATGAATGTTAATGCTTCTGAATGCTAGGTGACTGCATATGTCATGCTTCTGAATGCTAGCTATTTTGAGTATTTTTGTAAATGCTAGCCACAACATCTGAAGTTTAGACAAGGACCAATGCCAAGAGGTAAAAAAGAACAATTTAATTATGCACATTATTCACTTCGTAATGTCATTGAGCGGTCATTTGGAGTTTTAAAGATGAAGTGGAGGATATTGCTTGACCTACCTAGTTATCCTATGCCAAAGCAAAGTCAAATAATAATTGCGTGCATGGCACTATACAATTTTCATTCGAGAGAGTTATTTGGGGATGCGGACTTTGATTTGGTTGATAGTGATGAGAACTTTGTTCCACTCTCGGAAGCATCGTCTTCTCAAGTAAATGTATCTAATACACGTCATGTAGATGAACATCAAACCATGAATCAATTCCTTGATTGATAGCGATGGGTTATTCAACTGATCATAGATGTCTTAATGGTGATATTATATTTGCCGTGTGCTACTGTTGTATGGATAATTTTCTCCGTTTGTATGAGTGTTTGAATGTGTATGAAATTTTGTATGAACATATTTTCCAATGCGTATGAAGATGTGTATGAAAACAGAAGGATGCAGGAGGGGTAACGATTTAGGCGCCAACCATTTTTGGACTCTTTAAAAAATATGCACGCGCATCCGTGACTCCATGTTTTGGCTTTTCTCCACTACATCTGTCAGTCCCTGTTTTGGCGCCAGTAGTTATCAGTTGGCGCCGAGATCTTCAGATCGTCAGGGGCAGCAGGGCAATGGTAAATAAGTCATCTTACCACAGCATTTATTACTTTTAGTCCATACTAGTCTAAGTAACCGGATCATACTTTAATCCATGGACTAAAAGTACCCTGGCCAGTGCAATTACTGTGCCAAATCTGCGTGGCACACGTACGTACTCCACGCCTTCGTTTCTTCGTTCCTGCGATGGCGCGCGACGCGAGCGCGACACACATGCATGCACGCACGCATGGATGCACGGGGCCGGGCGGGGCACGGACAGCCGGACAGGCCTAGCGCAGCGCCATGCACCACAGCTGGCCTAGCGCAGACCACGCGCACATGCATGTCCGCCGCCGCACTGTAACGCGTTTTCGCCACGCGGCGGGTCCGATCTCGCGCGCCGGCCAGATCGGACGGCCGGCCAGGCCCATCCTAGGATGATGGCGCCACCGCCAGGGCGGGAAGGAAGGAAGGCGCGCATGCCGGAGGGAGAAGAGCGGCAGACAGGGGCGGAGTGAGCTGTTGACTTTTGTTGACGCCTTCGTCAGACCCAGGGGTGGAGTGAGCCTGGCTTGGCTGGTCAAGCACGGGCACGGCAACGCAAGCGAAACGGAGCCGGTCGCCGGGGCTTCGGTGACGGGCACGCGTCGGTGGCGCGCCCGGCCGGGTTTCACTGGCGCCGGCCCGCCCGTTACTGTGCCGCGCAGTTATGGCGCGCAACGCATGCATTTATTACCGCCTGTCGTTCACCTTCACCCCCGCGCGCTGTAATCCGCCCCCTAATTACCGCATTTATTTGTACGACCCGCCCACGATACGTTCTGGGCTTTTTTTTCCCGGCTCTGCGCACTCCTGCTCTCGCTCTCTCTACGGGTGGGTGAGTGACACGCGGGCCCCGCGCGCGTCTCCTGGCTGGCTGCCCAGGGCGTCCGTCCACGCGGAGGAGGGGAGAGCACCGTCGCTGCCACGTGGGCTCCGACCACGGTCCAGCGCGCGTGGGTCCGTGAAGTCAGCCGGGCGCGTCGCAGTCGTCGCCTAGCCCAGGTCGAGTCACGCGGAATCAGAAGTCAAAGCGGAGGCGTCACATCACACACAGTGGACAACAAGTAACAGCGCCGGCTGGCTGGCCGTGTCCGTCGCTGCGCCTGCTGTGCTGCACTGCTGCTGCTGCTGCGAGGAAGACGAGGGCACAGGGCAAACGAAGGAGAAGGAGGAGGAGAAGACGGCCGATCGACCTCTTCTTCGTCTTCAACCTTGCGCCGTTCTTCAGTGCGTAGGTTAGGGAGCCGAGTTAACATTAACAAGCAAGCAAAGCAAATTGCGCTCGCTCAGGGGAAGGACGAATCGGGGGAGAGGGGGGTGGAAGCAGGGGTACGCCGAGGCTCAGAACAACCGACAGGGTATTTACTGCCGCCATTTACTCCCCCCGCCCTTGTCTCGCCCCCATCCCTCGCCCTTTCACTTCCATCCATCGCTCCGTCCGTCCCCCATTCCCTCCCCTCCTTCCTCCTCCTCCTCTCCGATCCTCTCCCTCTCCTCCTCCAAAGCTTTCCCTTTCCTGCACCTCTCGCTAAATCCTCTTCCTCTCCTCCTGTACTCGCCCTGCCATGCATCGCCGTGGATTTTAACTGCTTGCTTCTATCTGGAGGAACACAGTCATCAGGCCAGCCAGGGAGAGGGACGAGAGTAAGAGGAGGGAGGGGTTCTCCATTTGTTTCTTCCTCTCGGTTGATCTGCCGGCCGGTCGAGGAAGGATGTTTGGGGACTGCCAGGTCCTGTCCTCGATGGCCGCCATGGCCGGGGCCTCCTCGTCGGCGGACGCGCTCTTCATCCCCAACCCAGGCGCGCTCGCCGGATTCATGTCCTCCTCCGCCGCCGCCATGCCATTCCACCATTTCTCCACCACCGCCGCCTCCCTGATACCTGTAAGTAGAGTACTCCGTCGCCTTAATGCTAACTGTTGTGTGGGTGTTCTACTGTTCTTGCTTTGAGTCTGAAATGCATGGTCCGTGTGCCTGTGTATATATGCAGAAGAAGGAGGGCGGCATCATGGGTGCGCTCCAGGTGGCCAAGGACGAGGACATGGATCAGTTGGAGATGGACATGGAGCTCAGCGGCGGCTCCGGGAGCGCCCACCTGGACGGCCTGCTCAGCTTCCCCGACGTGGACGACGACCGGCCGGAGCAGAAGCCGCAGCACAGCAGCCTCGAACTCCAGACGACGGTGGACGCCGCCGGGCAGCAGCAGCAGCAGCAGCTGGCCACCGCCAACGGCAAGAAGAAGCGGTACCACCGCCACACGGCACACCAGATCCAGCAGATGGAAGCGTAAGACATATATACGCTTGCCTTTTCATATAAAATCTCCTTCTCCGATATATTATAATCTCTGATGGATGCATATGCATGCATGTCAATGGCAATGGCACTGGCATTGCACGGACGACATGCGCGCAGGCTGTTCAAGGAGTGCCCGCACCCGGACGACAAGCAGCGGCTGAAGCTGAGCCAGGAGCTGGGGCTCAAACCCCGCCAGGTCAAGTTCTGGTTCCAGAACCGGCGCACCCAGATGAAGGCGCAGCAGGACCGCGCCGACAACGTGCTCCTCCGCGCCGAGAACGAGAGCCTCAAGAGCGACAACTACCGCCTGCAGGCCGCCATCCGCAACGTCGTCTGCCCCAACTGCGGCCACGCCGCCGTCCTCGGCGAGATGTCCTACGAGGAGCAGCAGCTCCGCATCGAGAACGCCAGGCTCAAGGACGAGGTGGGTGCTGCTCCGCTCCCTACCTACTTTAGCTCGCTCGCTGCTTAAACCCTAAGCATTGCATGGAACAATACAGTCCTGGACTAACACTGTTCATCCATCCAGCTCGACCGCTTGGCGTGCATCGCGACCCGGTACGGCGGTGGCCGACAGCCGAGCATGCCGTCCTCGCTGGGCTGCTTATCGGCGCCGCCGGCGGTGCTCATGCCGCCGCTCGACCTCGGCATGAATGTCTACTCTCGCCATTTCACCGACCAGTCTTCAGTCATGGGCTGCGGCGACCTCATCCAGTCCGTCCTCGGGCCGCCGCAGCAGATCACCGGCGGCGCAGCCGAGCACCACGCCACGTCGTCGTTCATGGGCGCCATTGGGCCTGTCCAGGAGCAGGACAGGCAGCTGGTGCTCGACCTCGCCGCCACGGCGGCCGACACCCTCGCCAAGATGTGCCGCGCGGGCGAGCCGCTCTGGCTGCGGCGCCGCGGCGCGAGCTCCGAGGTCATGGTGGCCGATGAGCACGCCCGGATGTTCAGCTGGCCGGTCGACGGCGGGCAGCAGGGCAGTGCCTCCACCGGTGCCACGGCCAGGACTGAGGGATCAAGGGACAGCGCCGTGGTTATCATGAACAGCATCACACTGGTGGATGCCTTCCTGGATGCTGTGAGTTTTCAATCATCCATTTTAATGCCCAAACACCTCCCAACACTCATTTTTTTTCCTTCCGTCCCTGTTCACTGCCTCCTGAATCTAGTGAGCTCTGGCAAGGCTTTGGTAAGATTATGGTTAGTACTTTTTAGGTTTGGGTGTTCGGCTTCAATGTGGTAAGATTATGGAACAAGGATAGCCCAAGATGTCGGCAGTTGGTCGGTCTGTGTGGGTGGCGAAGCAACTGTGTTGCCAACCGGAGTAGCATAGGAAGGCTTATGGGTGGCGTGCGGCAATGGTGGGCGATTGAGATGGATTTGCATAGTGGGGAGGTGGTGGCGGCAACTCTAGTGGCAGGAGCGGGGCAGGAGTTCGACATAGGATTTTATTTTTTTTTTTTTTGGGGGGGGGTGGGGGGGGGGGAGGCCGGGGGCAGGTGTATGCCATGATTTTGTACGCTGTGTTTGTGTGGAGAAGAAGGCCAAAGGAATAACATGGCAATTTAGATTTGGCAAATATGATGTGTGGATTCATGAAATATTTTTTATGCATTTGTCTCGAATAAACTATTTATGATTGCTACATAATTCCTGATTTCCCAGAACAAGTGGATGGAGCTGTTCCCTTCGATCGTGTCCAAGGCAAGAACCATTCAGGTCATAAACCATGGAGCTCGTTCTGGTCACATGGGCAGTGGATCTCTCCTCTTGGTAACTAGCTAGATCTCTTGTTTATTAGACTATCATTTGATATCCTTTCAATTTGAAGATTACATCAAACTGAGATTGATCTGATTGCGAACCAATGAACAGATGCAAGCGGAGGTGCAGTTCCCGTCTCCTTTGGTGCCTGCGCGGGAGGTGGTCTTCTTCAGGTACTGCGTGCACAACGGTGATGAGGGGACCTGGTCCGTTGTCGACTTCCCGGCTGAGGGGTTCCAACTGGAAGCTCTGCAGACCTCATCTGTTGTCAAGTGCTGTAGGCGCCCCTCCGGTTGCATCATTCAGGACATGCCCAATGGCTACTCAAGTGTAAGCTTTTCAATGGCTGTTTTATGCGTGAGCTACGGTGTTCGTGATGCCTACTCAGCACTGGGGTTGACACGTTATCTGCATGCAATGCAGGTGGTGTGGGTGGAGCACATGGAGATGGTTGGAGAGGAGAAGCCACTGCACCAGGTGTTCAAGGACTACGTCGCCAGCGGCTATGCCTTTGGGGCCACGCGCTGGGTATCCCTGCTCCAGCGCCAATGCGAGCGCCTTGCCAGTGAGCTCGCCCGCAACATCGCCGACCTTGGAGGAGGTATACGCTACTATCTGTCACAGCAAGCATATGCAGCTAGATTGTTGGTTCTAATGCTACATACATGTTTGCTGCTGGATAGCTGTATACTGTAGTTAATTAGAAGCTTTAGTTTGTCCAAAATCATAAATCATGCCATCTGTTTGTACGATTCTGATGTGGCCATGCTGTCTGCACCATCCTGCCTGCAAACTGACATATTCTGATGGGCTCATTTCAATAAGATTTCAGTTTTTCCTAATCATTTTTTCATGAACATGCCTGAGCATTTCATTAAGAGGAAGAAAGCAAGCACGATCATCCACAGGTTCAAACAAGAGGCTTAGATATTATAATGACTTATTATCATATGCTTTTATCATTTTGGAAGGAACTATATATTGCAGATATATGCATACACGCCATTTACTAGAGAGCATTTGATCTGCTATGATAACTACTGCATTTACTTTCTCTTTTCTGATCAACAACATTCATCCATCTTTACAAAGTCTAACCATCATGTTCTTTTCACTTTTTCACTGTAACTACCAGTGATCCGCACACCAGAGGCGAGAACAAATATGATGAAGCTGTCACAACGGATGATCACTACTTTCTCTGCCAACATCAGTGCTTCTGGGAGCCAATCTTGGACGGCACTCTCAGAAACTACAGAGGACACAATTAGGGTCACTACTCGTAAGAACACGGATCCAGGCCAGCCCAGCGGTGTCATTCTAACTGCTGTCTCTACAAGTTGGCTTCCTTTCAGCCATCAGCAGGTCTTTGAGCTTCTTGCCGATGAACAACAGCGTTGCCAGGTACTGCCTGTATTTACTATTTCAAACATGGTGGGTTATTGTTTGAATTCTTGGTTTCAGTTGCGGCCTATTATTGTTTAATTTGATTTAGTAGTGTCTTGATGGATGTTTTACTATTGCAGCTTGAGATTTTGTCAAACGGGGGCTCACTTCACGAAGTGGCACACATTGCAAATGGATCACACCCAAGGAATTGCATTTCTCTTCTTCGAATTAATGTGAGTATATTATTTCTGCTTCTGACTGTTGGAGCTTGTTACTCATAGTTCTCATATTTGTTTCCGTAAACAAAAATGCTTCTCATATTTGAGGGCTTCAAGAGCATAATAACTAAGTTATCCATTTTATGGTGCCTGTTATTATTATCAGTTCTTAGTACTTATTTCAGACTAGTAATTAGGCCTATGTCTGAAGGATAAGAATTGTACATTGGTAAATTTTTAAGATATGATGATGTCAATATTGCCCTTGGAAGATTTGTACAAACATTTATGTCTGAAAGGAAAAAGTTTTAAAAGGGAAAAAACAAATTGTAATTGCTCCCTGGTACGGACTTATGGCAGTAACTGTACTCTGGTGTAGAACTGTTGATCTTTTTAATAGTTCCAAAAGCACATACTATTTACAACCAATGCCAAGGACAAGAAATTAACACCGGCTACTTGAGCTGTACAGTACTCAAGATGCTACAAGAAATGAGTTTGATCTAGCTAGAGTCTTAGCACATGCATCATTGCAATTTTGCTACCACAGTTTCAGTTCCATTTGTTGTCAATAGTAATAACTTCTAGTTTCATCTGTAATGAAAGGTAATTATATGCTTGCTTGAGGCATTTATAATCTGTAAGTGATCTCAATGTTTCATTTGACGCTAAGTGCATACTGAAGAAATACATGCTTGTGAAACTTACAGTCATGCATATAACGTAAATGTTTGTTGTGGTTGGTTTCTGTTCATCTTTCTTGTAAGAAGTCATTATTTTCCGGTTCTTTTATTTATATATGATCCCCGAAATACAGTTTACTTTAGCATTATGTATTGATATGAAGTTTCAAGAACTGAAATTTTTGCATGTGATGAAAACAACAGGCTGCAAGCAACTCCTCCCAGAATGTGGAGCTCATGCTGCAGGAGACCAGCACCCACCCTGATGGCGGGAGCCTTGTGGTGTTTGCGACTGTGGATGTGGATGCCATCCAAGTGACAATGAGTGGCGAGGACCCTTCCTACATCCTCCTTCTCCCCCTGGGCTTTGCCATCTTCCCAGCCACCAACCCTTCGCCAGCAGCAACCAGCACAAGCTCCAGCAATGGCGAAAGCAGCCTAGGTAACACAGATGAGCCTGCCAATGGCTGCCTCCTCACCGTCGGCATGCAGGTGCTAGCTAGCGCGGTGCCCTCAGCTAAGCTGAATCTCTCCAGCGTCACTGCAATCAACAGCCATGTCTGCAACGCCATCCACCAGATTACAACCGCACTCAAAGGCCAAGGCGCTGGGGTGAGCGGGTTTGAACTGGTGGCTGCTGCTGGCTCCGACTAGTAGGAAGGGTGGGAACAGAGGAGAGCATTTCCATGCTGATCAAAATGCCTTCCAAGTCCGGTTATTTTTGCTAACAAACATATCGCAGGTGCAAGCGAGGATTTGACAAGAGCCCGAAACTAACACATGAAAAATTCAAAACCCTTCTCTTTCCCGCCATATGCCTCTTAAAATGACAAAAATACCCCCGACCAAACAAACAGTGTGGGGGCATTTTGATCATTTTGGGAAGCTAGTGTCATCTACATCTACTAGAAAAGGGTCTTGTCAAGCTCTCACTTGCGCCCGCTGAATCTATCACTCAGATAGCAACCGGTGCAGTTTGGTCATGCAGGTGTTTGCTGCTCTCGGTCTGTTCCCTTGCTCAAGAGTCCAGAACTGTGAAGGTTAGCTTCGATTGGAATGCTTCTTTTGGTTTTTGTAATAATAATAAGATGGAAGATTACCTAATAGTTTGCGCGTAATGGTTCTTGGTCGGTCGTAGAGCTGTATAACTCTGTATTAGAGGTTCAAGACTTGATTGTGTAGGAAAGAAGAGAAAAGTGCGAGAGGAGGAGTCAAGAGCGAACCAAACCAGTTGTGACCCTTGGATCTGATCCCAGGCCATCAGGGAAGAAGGGTCTTGGTTCGGGAATTGACTTGTTCTCTCTCTGCACTGCAATGTTCCATCTGTAACCTGGCTGTTTGTGCTACTCAAACTGTTTGATTACATTGGTAGGTTATCATGCATGTTTGCAGCTCTTGCTCTTGCCCTGGTTGTTGAATGGAAGTGAATGTGTGTGGTGCCCTTTTGTTTCTTGTGTCGACCTAATCTGTGGAGGGCACTGCAGTGCAGGGACTTGAATACCCTGCCTTTCTGCTGCTCTCCACTGCATTGCATTGCATTGGATCCTGTGGCTTGCTTGAGATTGATGCCCTGGCACACACTGCTACTGTAGAATGGAGGGCCAGGCCAGCCATTTTTTTCTGCACAAGGCAATGCAAGCATCAGCTGCTGCTGCTGCTGCTGCTGCTGGTTATTTATACCTGTGTACTATGCATGGAGATGCGGTGTCTGATGATCAATCTGATGGGTAGTTGGGGTGATGCCCCCTCATAAATAGCTTACCAGGGGACTGGGGAGGGGACCGGCCAGCTCCTCTTCTTCCCACAGCTGCATTGCATTTCTCTGTTGGATGATGCTTCAGTCTGCGGTTTATGTGGTGAAACTTAGTAGCAGCATGTTTTGTGTTAGCTGGATCACGAATCCCTATGTCCCTATCCCTTCCTCTGTTTAGCTGGAGAGGCCTTTCGAATTCTGGCAATGACTTGGGGTAACTGGGTGGGGCATGCTTATATTTGCTACATGCCTGTTGAGGCAAGCCACATTTTGCTTGGAACAATTGTTGCAAGTACAATGTATATACATCAGTACATGTAATGCCTCCCCCGGGGCGGAGCTAGAGCAAATTCAAGGGGGTTGCGCTTGCCTTATGGATGCGTAGATTTTTATTTTGAGGATGCAAATATTATAAAAATTTGGATATTATCGGTGTTTTTTTATTTTTGTGTTGGTGCGGGCACACCCACAATCATTATATACATCCGCCCATGCCCCCCTCCCCCAAAGAAAAAACCCACTTAAACTTATGGTCGATCACAATGCCATGTTCGGTTCATATCTGTGTTTTCATCATGAACGGATTGCCACTACAGCCTTTGCTGACAATGGCTGCTTGCAAGAAGCACTACACCACAACCCAAAATTAACGTCACATGGGGGTCGTTAAAACTGCCAAAATAGCGTTGGAAGGTCGGACGTTAAAGATTAGTAACGTTCGGTCGGTCGTTATATCTCGTTTTTGCAATAGACAGTCGGTCGTTATTGTTATTTGGCTTTACTGTTCGATGGTCTGTCGTTATATCAACGTTTTAACGACCAACCGACTGTTATTGTTATTTGGCTTTACTGTTCGATGGTCTGTCGTTATATCAACGTTTTAACGACCAACCGACTGTTGATATATGTGGGCTGGACTCACGCACTCTTAGTTGGACCAATTCCCATCTAATTTTCAGAGGCCCACGTGTCAGACGAAAAATTTTCCAGCCCGCCTTCACAGCCCACCAACACCGAGCCCATTTCCCCCTCACACTCTTACCCCAGCCACACAATCCACTCCTCCCCCCCCGCCTTCCCCCTCCCGATGGCAGCCCCCGACAACGCCCATCGCGGCGTCCCCGTGCTCTCCCCCCCTCCCGGACTCCTCCCCGAGCTCACCCCCTAACACCTCCGTTCAGTGCTCCCGAGCTCTCCCCCCTCCCGGACTCCTCCCCAAGCTCTGCCCTTCGGCATCCTCTCCAAGGCTCTTTGACGACATGTTTTGGACATCCTAGCTATAGATGAAAACTTTTGTTTGGACTTACTAGAAATGGATCATTTTGTAAAGAGTGGCATCAAACTATGACATATGGGTTGTGGAACCGAATATCTCTAGTATGTCTAGCATTTTGGCCAAACTTATTTCATCTTAGCTTTTGTTTGCCATGAATTGTGTGTAAAATGGCATGACATATTATGATGGCTTTAATATAACTTGTGAGCTTTGGTCCAGTTTATATGTGTTTCATGACCGTGTATTGTTTGAATGTATGACATGGTTATATTGTTGATTGTATGGTTAACTTATAAACAATACATGATATTATATGTTAATTTTTTGTATGCATAGCGTTGGGCAGTTGGTCGCTATAAATATATATCATCAGACAGTGTGTCGTTATAAGTTTATAAAAGGCGTCAGAAAGTCTGTCGTTATATCTTTTTCATAACGTTAGATGGTCGGTCGTTAAAAGTTTATAACAACGCCAGTATCAACGGCAGATATAAGTGTCGCTATAGATTTATAACAACCGACCGTAGGTCGCTGAAACGGCTTATAACGACCCACCGGCGACGCTAAATCTGGGTTGTGGTATAGTGAAGGCAAGTATGTTGTGATCGCTGCATCACCAACAAATTCTTTAGAGTTGATGAAACTTAATTCACGAATCCAAAAACCAGCCCAAATAAACATTTGCAAAAACTTCGTTGTGAAGCCCAAGTTGAATCGTTACCTTACTGCCTTTAGTCTTGAACCCAGGAGCATCCTAGAAAAACATCCTTTGTCACAAGTTTTGGCCAGTTATTTTTTCTAATTTTATCCCTATGAACATATCTTTATATCGACCCACCCCTGACCTAAATACGAACACATCTTTGTCGACCCACCCCTAACCTAAATATTTACCCTAGTGCATATGACTCAATCTTCTTGGACCAATGTGTAAGTCGCAACCAAGGAATCGTTATCATCTCTACATGGCCGACCACCCTCAACTCCAAACCATCAAGAGAAAGAGCTTCACATGCAATAGTCACCTCAACTTAAGCGCGACAAAAACCTAAGGCAGACATAGGATGAAGGAATTAGGATAAAAGATCTAGCCAAGGACTCAATGATAGTCATGGAAGATGAAGTGCCATGGGATTGATCTCTCTAAGGTTTATAGACAACAAATCAAACCCTATGTGTTTTGATGGACTGTCCATGATCTCTCCATGGACTGTCTATCAGTTAGTGGTCAAATCGAGTTGACTGGTCAACATTGTGAAGTTCACGAGAACACAGTGGACTGTCCACCATGTCTTGATGGACTATCCATGAGGACACAAGAGACCCTGTAGCATGCAAATATTGTGCTATCCATCTCATACACCTGTTGGCCCCACCTGTCAGTTGGAAGAATTCCTCAAACCACTAGCTTCGACACCTACTTCGGCATCATCAACTACGCCTTCGCCAATATATCAGCGTGGGGCTTCGCCATTGACTTTGTCAATCAACAACACCACTTTCGCCAACATTTCGACAAGGGGCTTTGCCATCGACTTTGACATTATCGACTACGTCTTCACTAACATTTCGGCAAGGAGCTTTACCAATGAGTTCTGAAAGCATCTAGGCCCTTAGTGGGTTTTGGTGATTAATGATGACATAAAGTTATTGTGACTAACGTGTGTTTTGCTGAGGCAATTTAAGTTAGGTCACGATAATGGGGATTGTTTGGGAAATCAATGGTTTTCATGCCCCTATCGATGGAAATCATTTTGGTTTTCAAAGGATGGACGACAAGGTTAAGGACGGACTAGTTCTAAGTGTCGTTTGGCGTTGAGAGACACTTAGAGTAGTTTAGGATCTTATTTTTCTTTTGGCCATACTATTAAGGGGGGTATGAGCTAGTAGCGGGACCTAGGTCAGTCTAATGGTTTAGGTGTGGCACACACTTGTCAATCTTAGCACTGGTAGCTATGAGTTAGCCCAAAGATCAAGTGGAGTCAATCCCATTCACAAAGGACTTCGAATTGGAAGTGATTTGGGATGTGACAGCAGGACCAAACGCTGAAGGTGCAGTGACCGAACTCTAGCGCACCGAGTCCGGTCAGTGCAAATGCCATGTAGAAGTGGCCTCATGGTGACTGGATGCTAACGCAAGGCCAAGACAGAACGTGACCCTTCTACTGTAGCCGCCAGGTCTCGGTGTTTACAGATGACCAAACGCTGGTCAGCGAAGTGACTAGACTCTATGCTAGGGAGTTCGGTCAAGAACAGAGACCATCTAGAGAGATTCTGCTCTGACTTGACGCGTCCTGTTAGGAAGGACCGGACGTCCCCTAGACTCCGGTCAGTATAACGGTCGTCTGTCAGAGCTGGCGTCATGTAGCTGTTTGCTACTAATCGGACACGTCTGGTCACTCTGACAGGCAAGTCTGGTCATTATGAAAGTTGCTGAGTTAGACCCCAATGGGTATGTTTTGAAGTCAGGAGTATAAATACTTTTCCTACTCGTCCAATTTAGTTCTCTTGCCCATTTTTTTTAGCTGAGAAAACACTTTGGAGTGCAAGGGAGAGCAAGAGCCTAGTGGGGTGAATGAGATCTGATAATCTAATATTAAGGACCTCATTAGTGCATAGGGAGTA